CATGTCACCATCCACTACTTCGAAGAGAGTTATTTTCATTACTCTTTCAGCGTTCGTGAGCAGCAAGATCTCTCCCCGGGTCATCACGCTCGCAAGATTGAATCCAGCGAGGAGTTTTGTTGCTGGAATAATGCTTCCGGTGAGTTTAGCTTGTTCCAGTACTCTCCATTGTATGATATTAGCCGAACTTCCCGGATCCACTAGAACATGCTTCATTTTAAAATCTAACACATTTAAAGAGATTACCAATGCATTATTGTGTGGTAACAGCAATCCGTTTGTGTCTTCCTCCGTGAAAGTGATATCATCCTCCCAGAGTCTTTTGTTGTGAGTTATCGATACTTTAGTCTTCTTTGCCGCCGAAAAGGCGACCCCGTTAATTTTGTTCCCCCCAAAGATCATGTTGATCGTTTGGCGTGGGGCTTCTTCTCCTGCATTCGAAGATTCTGCGTTGTCCCTGTTGTGACCGTAATTGCTCATAGCTCGATCACTTAAGAACTCTCGGAGATGACCATTCTTCAATAGCGTTGCTACCTCCTCCCGAAGATGTCGGCGGTCCCTTGTCCGGCGACCATTCGTCGCGTGGTATTCGCACCATAAATTGGGATCCCTCTGGCTGGAATCGGATAGCATAGGTCTCATGAATCGTGCTTCTTTAATGTTCCTCATGGCTGATACCAGTTCCACTACACTGACATTGAAGTTATATTCTGACAACCTGGGGTAAGAAAGGTCTCGAGGCCTCGACATTTGCTTATATTAAAGTGATCTACTGTTTTGACCACGATCAGTCCTCCGTCAGTGGTGAACTTGTTTTTCTACTCGAAAGTTTCTGCCATGGCCTTCAGTGCACTCATAGGGCAAAAACCGACCCCTCGAAGTCCGCCTATCCGCGTCATAATCATCCTTTGATTTTTCTCTCTTCTTCTCCTATCCTTTGGCCGATGATGTAGAACCGACCTGGTCGTCTTCTATCCTTATCTTTGACTCGTAACGGTTGTGAACATCTGCCCAGGTCGTTGCTTGAAACTCAAGAAGGCTCTCCTTCAGCTTCGGGGAAGCGTCTGAACTTCTCGGATTCAATCCTTTGGTGAATGCTTCAACTGCCCATTCATCTGGGACGGCCGGGAGAAACATTCTTTCTTTCTGGAATCGGGTAACAAACTCTCGCAATAATTCAGATTCTCCTTGTGTGATTCTGAATATGTCGATTTTTCGGGATTGCACCTTTCTGGCCCCAATGTGAGCTTTAATGAAAGAATCCGCGAGCATCTCAAAGAAATCTATGGAATGCTCGGGCAGTAATGAATACCATGTTAGGGCTCCCCTCGTGAGAGTTTCACTGAATTTCTTTAGCAACACAGATTCAATTTCATGAGGAGCCAGATCATTTCCTTTCACCGCCGTTGTGTAGGTGGTAATATGTTCATGTGGGTCCGAAGTTCCATAATACTTTGGAACTTCTGGCATTTTGAAACGCTTCGGGATTAGTTATGGTGCCGCACTTGGCTTGTACAGTAATTGAACATACTTCTTCGAGTTCGGGCTTTTCAATACTGGTGGTGCACCCTGGATTTGATCCATGCGGGCATTTACTTCCCTCATGAACTGTAAAAGCTCATCTTAGAATGAATCGTTCTCGTTGTTAAGACCTGATCTGCTCCCCCAGCCCCATCGGCGCTAACATCACCCCTGGGGAGTGTTGTTGTCGACTCTCTGCGTTGTTTGGTCTGTGGGAACAACGGGAGAAACCGAGTCGCGCCTGTTTGCATTATTCGAAGCACCTGATAGTGCCTACTTTAGTTCCATCATAACCTGATCCTGCCGCGTGAGATGGCCTAGAATGATTGTCTTTTGCTCTTGCAGGATCCTCACAGCATTCGCTACTTGTTCCTCGTCAGCATCATCGGGGGTTGTCTCCCGAACCTGTCGAGGGTACCGTCAGTGATGCACTAGCGTGGTGTCATTCCCCTAATTGCGGGTGTCACTGATCGAGTCCTCGAGATGAGGCTGATCCCCTCGAATTGTAGGGTTGTGTGCATCGTTAATAGTGTTATCTTCCATTTTTTGCGAATTTTTCTAAGACAAAATAGTCAAAGAAATGATAGTAAAAAAGGCAAGGATCAATTTAATTGCACGACTGTCGAGACCTCACGATGGGCGCCAAACTGTTTACTTGTAAAACGGTATAGTTAAATTTATACGTAGTTTCTAGACAAATGAACTAATTTGATCCTGAAATAATATAATAATTGAAGAAATACTCAATACTTAGCCTTAGAATGTAGATGAAATAGCAAAGATGATGATTTCGTGAATACGGTTTCCGAATACAGCAATGATGATATCTAAAAGCAAGAAAGTGAAATTGTACAAAGCTTTGTATCGAATATAGTATATGTTCTTGCCAGAAAATTCGTGTCTTTTACAATGATAACTGAGCTCACTATTTATAGCTATGCCTAGGGAAAAAGGTCCTAGGATCATGCCTTCCTTTAATGCCAATTATGAGGATCATTGATGAAGATGTAACGTTGAGTATAAATGCCAAATTCTCTGAAACGGTCCGTCGCTCTTAATGTTGTAGAATATTCCTTAGTAAATGCTACCGGGCGCAGAGCATTTAATACACTTTTATGAACGTTATTCGTTCTGGTGACAAGCGCAGTGGCTGTGTTCGGTCCTCAACCATCCTATCTTGGATTCCACGTGTCCTCATTTTAGTCAGCCACGTGTCATATCATATTTTACCCTATACAATTTTTATGTCCAAGCTTCCTGTTGGGCCAAGCTGTAAAAATCAGCTTATTTGGAGAAGTATTTTTTCTCAAAAGTACTTTTGGTGAAAAGCAGTTTGTGTTTGGCTAATTAATTTGAAAAATACTTCTGAGCAGCAATTAGTGTTTGGCCAAACTTTTAAAAACTACTTCTAAGCATATTTTTCTTAGAAGTGCTTTTCAAAAGTGCTTTTGGAGAGAAACTACTTTTTTCTGCTTCTGCTTCTCCTCAAAAGCACTTTTTTTTCTTCCAAAAGTTTCGCCAAACACTTCAACTTTGAAAAAAAAAAAATTGGAAAAAAAGTGTTTCTAGGATGGGAAAAGCTTGGCCAAACAGGCTATACATTTGCAAAACACAAAACAAAGTAAGGCAAGTTACATATTTGGCCAGTCAACCAAAAATAATTATATTTGCTACCAATATATAAAAATTATATATTAATATACAAAAGATATACATTTTTCCGGCTATACTGGTTAGTTTTCCCAACAAAGTAGTATTAATCTGACTTTTATATTGCTACATTTTAGGCTGGATAAAATTGTAACTAGCATTAGTATTTTAAAATTTGATTGAACTACTCCAATATTTAGGATTGAAGTTTTATTATGAAGTTGATGTTTGACTTTCTTAAAACTTTTTCACCCTTTTAATTCCCCC